GTTGGCTCGCTGCATTTCGCAACGACGACGACGAGGCCAGACACCGCCTTCGTTGCAGCAAGCTGGGGAGCAGCCTCATGGTGAGGAGTGACCAGAACTGGCGCGAGGTCGACCGCTGCCTCGCCTACCTCGCCAACACTCATGACACCGCCTTGGAGTTTGGCAGTGGACCAGAGTCGCTGAAGTTGGTCGGCTACATGGACGCCGACGACGCCGGCGAAAAGCAGAACCGGACGAGCACGGGCAACTACGTGTTCGTCCACGGAGGGGCCACAATTTCTTGGTCTAGCTAGCGCATCATGTGCGCGACGCTGTCGTCGACCGAGTAGGAGTATGTGGCAACCACCAAGGCTGGCAAGGAGGGTAGCCGCCTTCGCTTCCTCCTTGCAGGATTCTGGCAGCGAGGCGCCGGGACGCCGACCGTCCTTCGAGTGGACAAAAAGTCGGCCATTATGGTCACCGAGGGCATGGAATTGACGGGAAAACTCAATTACATGAAGTGGCGATATGCCTGGCTGTAGCACATGGTGAAGCACGGGAAGTTTTCGCTGAAGTACATCCCAAGCACCGAGCAGCCGGCTGACTTCCGGCCGAAGGCGCTGCACTACCCAACCTTCAACCAATGCTCCATCGCGATCGACCAAGTGCGCCTTGCCGACGTGGGCGACGGCGACATCAACGTGCAACAATAGGTGCCATGCCCTCTTGCATGGCTGGTGCGGTGACGGTGTGCTGTGCGTTATGTGCACGCCGACGAGCTATTTTCCGAGGAGTTGTGCCGTGTGGGCTGGGGGCCCAAGCCTGAACGCGGCTGGGGAGTGTCAACGGGAGTTGTTGTTGGGCCCCGTCCTCGCTTGGGCGGAACCGACTTCTTGGTCGGGTGTGTGGGAGGTGCAGCCGACCTGTAGTAGTGCGCGAGCTAGTCGACGGGTTCGGTGACCTGCACGGTGTTACTGCGATGGCGTTGACTTTGGTAAGCTGGACAGGGTGCTGTACATGTTCCAGCCAGACTACTATGACGATGGAACTGGCCGGGTGTGCAAGCTGTTGAAAAGCCTCTACGGACTAAAACAGTCACCACTGCTGTAGTACAGGGCCCTCGACGGAGTGCTACTGGGCGCTGGCTGGAAGAAGAGCCAGGTCGACGAGGCTCTCTACTTCAAGGCCGGTGACGAAGGAGTGATTTGTTGGGTGCTTGTCTACGTCGACGACCTACTTGCCGCCAGCAGCAGCCTCGCGATGATGAAGGAACTGAAAGAGCTGCTGGAGGCTGCCTTTGAGCTGCGCGAGATCAGCTCGGTCGAGAGGTACCTTGGGCTGGAAACCGTGCGCGATAGGTCGGCAAGGAAGCTATGGCTGCACCAGCAGTCGTACGTCGACAAGCTCCGCAGGCGTTTCATCGACGAAGAGCAGACCGGGCGCATCCCGAAGACGCCGGTCTCCGTCGACGCCTATGCAGAGCTGACATTCGATGACGAGGATGCTCAAGCGCGCGAGGAGGAAGAGTACAGGCAGAAGGTTGGCTCGCTGCAGTTCGCAGCGACGACGACGAGGCCAGACATCGCATTCGCGTGCAGCAAGCTGGGAAGCGGCCTGACGGTGCGGAGAGATAACCACTGGCGCGAGGTCGACCGCTGCCTGCACTACCTCGCCGACACCCGTGACACCGCTTTGGAGTTTGGCGGTGGACCAGACTCGCTGTGCCTGGTCGGCTACGTGGACGCAGACGACGCAAGCGACAAGCAGAACCGGACCAGCACAGGTGGCTATGTGTTCATCTTCGGAGGGGCCGCAGTTTCCTGGTCGAGCCAGCGCATCAAGTGTGCGACGCTCTCCTCGACCGAGTCAAAGTACGTTGCGGCCACGGAAGCTGGCAAAGAGGCTCGTCGATTTCGCTTCCTCCTTGCAGAGTTCAAGCTGCTAGACCCTGGGACGCCGACTGTCCTTCGTGTGGACAACCAGTCGGCCATCACTGTCGCGGAAGGCTTGGGGCTGAAGGGCAACCTCAAGCACATGGAGCGACGTTATGCTTGGCTGCAGCAGATGGTGAAGCGTGGGAAGATTGCGTTGAAGTACATCCCCACCTCTGAGCAGCCAGCTGACTTCCTGACGAAGGGGCTGCACTCTCCGGCCTTCAACCGGTGCTCCGTCGCGATCGGCCAAGTTCGTCTGGCTGACGTTGGCGATGGTGACGACGATGTGCAGCAGTAGGTGCCGTGTCCTTCTGCACGGCTGGTGCGGTGACCGGCGTGCTGTGTGTTGTGTGCACGCTGACGAAGGATTTTCCCAGTGTATACTATCCCTTGGGTTCTGGGTGAACCTTGTGCGTAGGGTGCCCAAGCGTGAGCGCGGCAGGGGAGTGTTGAAGGAAATTGGCCCCGCCCTCGCATGGGCAAAACTGACCTTGTGGTCGGGTGTGCGGGAGGTGCAGCCGACCTTCTACAGGTGTTCGAGGGTTGCCTGTGCACGAGGTGTACTAGGGAATCTATGCAAGAGTAACTGAAGCATCTGCGAGTGCAACACAGACTTCCCGTGCGCATGTACAAGTTGCGCAGCTCGTGCAGAAGTTCGCGGGTGTTCGTCTGCGCAGGGTCGCGTCTGACCCTGCGCAACCTTGAGACTGCACAGGCGAATTTTGGCCAGAAATTCGAATGTGCCCTAATTTCGACCAATTAGGGGCTGACATTTTGAAATGTCAACCGAGGTGCTCAACGAAGGTGCTCGACGAAGGTCGTCGAACAGCGACGACGAAGGTCGTCAACCCGCGATGACAAAGGTCGTCAACCGGTGATGACGAAGGTTATCATCCTGCAGAGATGTCAGGGACTTCATCTGGTTGACCAAGTTACCTGCTCGACGAGTGTGCGAAGGTGTGCGAACGTCGTCGAGGCTGTTGTGGCGAAGTCGACCGACGTGGCAGCACGTGGTCGACATGGCTCATCATGTGCAACCGTCAGCATGTGGCTGACAACCTGCGCAATGTGTGTGACAGTGCACGTCGTGCATAACTGTCTACAAGCACATGCGAAGTAGGTGCCTGCACATGTGCTTACAATCACCTGCAGATGCAATGTTGGCAAGCCGCGCGGATGCTGCGTTGGCAAGCCGCGCGGGTGCAGCGTTGGCAGGCCACCATCTGCAGCGTTGGCAAGTCGCACACAAGCTGCGTTGGCGGGCCGCAGACTTGCTACGTTGGCAGGTCGACAACTCTGTCACGCTGGCATTCGACCTGCCTGAGCACTAGCAAACCTTGCATGTGATGTAGTCAATCCTTGCCATTGTTTGTTCTCATTCTGAACTCTGTATTCTCAACTTTTCCTTAGTGAAACTCTTGCTGTTTTGCCCTGTGAAAACACAAGTCCTAGAGAACACAGACAGAGCTAAGATCACTCTACCAACTCGTGCCTACCCTGGAGTCTAGCTCCCACCGTTGTAGAGTTAATCTCCTCACTTCTTAAATTACGGGATGGACCCGTTGGTGCCAACCACGACTACACTCGACAACCCAGTCCCGCGGTCACAACATTTTGTGACAGAACTACAGGAGATCCACGATAAAGCAGTCGACACAATTCGCAAGGCTAACACAACTGGCCGCAAATATATCGATCTGCTGCGACATGAAATTATCATGACGGGGGCAACTAGTGCTATTCGATACGAAAAATCTCTGCCTTCCCGTCTCGTCAAAACCACAGCCACGATTTTGTGGGCTATTTTGTATCATCCGGATGGTGACACATGTCACCGCGAGACCGCTGCTACCCGACTACTGGCGTGTTCACGACGCCTTCCATGTCAGCCTCCTTCTCAAGTTCGTGCCTGCCTTGACAGACATCGCACGCCTGAACCCCGCCCTGATAGCTCGGCCTTTCTTGGAACCAACACTTGACCTGTCGAAGATTTTGGCGCATCGTGTTCGGGCCGCACGTGGACCTTCTTGTGCTTGGGTGCCATCCGCCTTGCTTGAGGCTTCCCCACTTCTTGTTGATTATCTCGCCCGCAAGCGAGCTGCGGATATTGACCTGACCACCTTTCCTAAGGGAGGGGGGAGGAGGAGGGGGAAGGGGGTAGTGTAAGGAAACTCCCCTTTTTCTTACCGGAGTTAAAGCCGGCGGCCCAAATTGTTCATGCTTTTAAAAGTTGACCAGAGGGAGTTTTTCTGGTGTGGGCTTTGGCGAGAGTTTCCGATTTCGTCTAGGTTCGTTTTTTTCGCGAGACCCAGCCAACCCTCGGTTTTCCCCCTGGTGAGTGAATCTGTCTTCGAAAGTCCCAAATTGCAAGTGCGTGACTTTCAAAAGCTTGGACACTCAACTTCGTCAAGTTTTAAAAACTTGACCCTCGCGGCCCGCAATTTGGGACGCGGGCTTTAAGTGCTACACGTGCAACCCTGACATTTCAGACTTCATACGTTCGGCAGACACCCACGATTCCGATGCTGCCTCGCGTCGCCTTTAGAGTTCTGCTCGCAAACCTTCACTCAACCTCGCATTCCTGAGGTTCCCTCATAGCTAGGCTAGCAAATATATTATCACTTCGCCTTCATTGTATTGTCAGTTAATTGAGTCACAACCTCGTTATTCGTTATTCCGCGCAACTTTGTTTTACAAGTATAAGAAATGCAGAGTTGATCTGTTACGGCTCTCACCAACCAGCAAGTCAAACCAGGTCGCGTTGTATGATAATCTGGTCATAGCAGGTCGCCGCGAGCTCACGCTGCACTGCGTTGGCAGGCAATCCCAACGACTAACCAGCGAGGCACGACGAATCACCTTTCCCAAGCGAGTTCTCGTCCCCCCTAGACAGCCACCCGATGGAGAGCTGCCAGGTGCAAGTCACGTTGGGTGTACTAGTAGTAGGAACGACGCGGCGAGGTATCATTCCGTTGCATGTTCGACTCACACCGAACTTCTCGTGTTGTGTACTGCCACGTTCACGCGCTCGCTTGGAAGCAACCGTTTTCATCTCGTACTAGGGCCTCGAGCCCCCACGAACCGAATATGGTAGCAACGTCTCGTTGGGGGAGGCCGTGCAACGCGGCGGTCTCCCGCCGTGAACGGCATGCGCCGCCGATCTCCTCCGCCCGCCTGGGCTCGCACACGCAGGTCGCGCTGCGCGCGGCGCAGGCGACGATGGGGAGGGGCGTCATGGCGGCGAGGGCGGCGGTGTTGGCGCTGGTGGTTGCGCGCTGCTGCATGCCGCCCCTCGCACGAGCTGTACCCGTGGTGGACCCTGACAGTAAGCCGTGCTGGCCGCAAGGCGCGGGGTGCATGCACCTGTGCCATTGCTGGTGTGGTGACTACGGCAGTGCTTCGCGGCCGATGTGCACTATTCACTTTGCAACTTGCCTCCCACGTTACTTCTCTCACTGACTTCTCCCCACACATTGGCTGAATGTTTGGCATGGCATGGCATGGTACGGCATGTCATGGTATGCGCATGGTGGCATGCGATGGCATGGTGGGTGGACGGCAGTGGGCGTGGTGGCGGAGCTGGCGGCGGCGTGGAACAGGACCGCGGCGTGCAAGACGTGGGTGCGCGGCAGGGACTGCGACACCATGCCCGGCCTGCGCTGCGACGCGCAGGGCCACGCCGTTGCCATGTGAGCACCACGCCATCCCACGCCGCCGCATGTGCCACGGCGCGTGGCATGTCAACGAGTACTGCACTGGGGGTTATGGGAGCAGCAGCAGAGCGCGGATGTGCCGTGGCGGCACATCCTTCCTTCCCATCCCGCACACTCCAGCACCTCGCCTACGCTCACTCCCCCCTGCCAACCTCTCAACTGTTGCTCCCATGATCCCATCCCGTGCGTGCCCGTGGCAGTGACGTGCAGGGTGTGAGCACCATTCCCACGTGCATTGTGCAGCTCCAGCACATGACGTCGCTGTGAGTGCCCTGCGCTGCGCGTGCCTCGCATGGCTATTGTACATGCATTGCAATGTGTTGCTGCTGTGCGAAGCGGCTCGCTGTCAGTGTTGTCTCGCGTCAAGTACCCAGTTTTGTCCACTGTTCACATCCATTCATATGCACCACACGCACGTTGCTTCACCTCTCAACTTCCCTCATTTCTCTTATATTCCCAATGCTCCTTCTGTGCGCCTCCTGTCCTCTACCACGCGTCCCCCCCCAACGCGTGTGTGCAGGAGTATCACACGCAGCGATGTGCGCGTTGCATTTCCACCGGCCATCCTCGCCATGCCCAACCTCAAGCACCTGTGAGGCATCCGCTGCCATGTGCTTGCTCGCCATGCACCCATGCTGCGCCCATGCAGTGCGTCTTCAACCAGCAGCTGTTGTCTCCTCACGCCTCCACACACCCTTGTGCTTGCTACATGTGCGTGGAGCGTTGGGCTCGCTGTCAGTGTTGTCTCGCGTCAAGTACCCAGTTTTGTCCACTGTTCACATCCATTCATATGCACCACACGCACGTTGCTTCACCTCTCAACTTCCCTCATTTCTCTTATATTCCCAATGCTCCTTCTGTGCGCCTCCTGTCCTCTACCACGCGTCCCCCCCCAACGCGTGTGTGCAGGAGTATCACACGCAGCGATGTGCGCGTTGCATTTCCACCGGCCATCCTCGCCATGCCCAACCTCAAGCACCTGTGAGGCATCCGCTGCCATGTGCTTGCTCGCCATGCACCCATGCTGCGCCCATGCAGTGCGTCTTCAACCAGCAGCTGTTGTCTCCTCACGCCTCCACACACCCTTGTGCTTGCTACATGTGCGTGGAGCGTTGGGCTCGCTGTCAGTGTTGTCTCGCGTCAAGTACCCAGTTTTGTCCACTGTTCACATCCATTCATATGCACCACACGCACGTTGCTTCACCTCTCAACTTCCCTCATTTCTCTTATATTCCCAATGCTCCTTCTGTGCGCCTCCTGTCCTCTACCACGCGTCCCCCCCCAACGCGTGTGTGCAGGAGTATCACACGCAGCGATGTGCGCGTTGCATTTCCACCGGCCATCCTCGCCATGCCCAACCTCAAGCACCTGTGAGGCATCCGCTGCCATGTGCTTGCTCGCCATGCACCCATGCTGCGCCCATGCAGTGCGTCTTCAACCAGCAGCTGTTGTCTCCTCACGCCTCCACACACCCTTGTGCTTGCTACATGTGCGTGGAGCGTTGGGCATGGACGCACATGAATCATGCTGCATGCATGGATACGATTGGCGTGGAATATTGGCATGGATTGTTCGCACCTGCATGCGGGGTGTGTGAATGCTTGGTGCATGTGAGCAGGAATCTGTCAACGTGCCTCATGTTCGGCCCATTGTGGCAGTCCTTCGATCACACCAATTCAAGTGCCCTGGAAACCATGTGAGTCACCACGTGCGCCCTTCCACCGCACACTACCTTGGCCGTGCCAGCCTTAGCTTCAGCCAGCCAGCCATCTTCACCTTCCCGTCCTCACACATCCTTCGTGCCATCTGTCTCACCCCTACATCCTTGCTCCGGTCATTTCCGCGTCAACGTTCACTCTTGCCCTTCCTCTCTCACACACCATACCATGCTGCCATGCCATGCCATGGAGCCTATCTCACGCAGCACATCACAAGTATCCGCTTCATTTGTTGTCGTTCACACGCGACTCTCACCGTCACCATGCATCACCCAACCCGTGTGCCCGTGAGCAGCAATCTGGGCGCCAATGGGTTTGATGGCGGCATTCCAGATAGCCTCTCTCGAATCACCTCGCTGAGGCACCTGTGAGCTCTCCTTCCCTCTCTCATTCGTCCCAGCACTTTCTCCTCTCCCTGCCCTTCTCTCTTCTGCATCTCCCATCCCTCTTCTGTTTGGAGGAGCTTGCTTTCATGATTCTGCATCATGTGTGTGCAAGCACTCTCCATCACCCCCGTCACCTCTTCATCATGCGCTCGCACTCACTTCCACTGCCGGCCAAATGGCATCATCCCTTGTGCACCCATGGGTGCCCCGTGCGTACCACAATGGCCCACCCACGTCGTGTCGTGTGCATGCCATGCCTTGCACCCACTATCTCCTCCCCCCCTGCTTTTTGCGATCCCCTGTGGGAGCACCAGCGACCTGAGCTACAACATGCTGATGGGGAGCGTGCCCGCCGCACTCAGTGCCCTCAAGGACCTCACCGCTCTGTGAGTGCCCCGCACGCCCACACCCGGATCACTTCATTGTGTGCCTGGATGGGTGGATGGGTGGGTGGGTGGATGGATGGGTGGGTGCATGGACGGATGGGTGGGTGAGTAGTTGTGTGGGTGGGGGGGTTGGTAGGTGGATGGTGGGTGTGTGGGGATGCAGATTGGGTAGGTGGATGGATGGGTGGGTGGGGAGGGGCGGAAAGAATCAAGCAAGGGAGGGCGTTAGAAGTGCAAGTGGGGTGGTTGGACTGGAATGATGTGCCAGGGCAGTGCTGACGTCCCTCCGCAGAGCCAGGCGGCTACCATGTGTGCTGGCATGGCCATGGCACGTGTGCTGGCATGGCCATGGCACGTGTGCTGGCATGGCCATGGCACGTGTGCTGGTATGGCTATGGCACGTGTGCTGACATGGCCATGGCACGTGTGCTGGCATGACCATGGCACGTGTGCTGGCATGGCCATGGCACGTGTGCTGGCATGGCCATGGCACGTGTGCTGGCATGACCATGGCACGTGTGCTGGCATGGCATGGCACGTGTGCTGGCATGGCCATGGCACGTGTGCTGGCATGACCATGGCACGTGTGCTGGCATGGCCATGGCACGTGTGCTGGCATGGCCATGGCACTTGTGCTGGCATGGCCATGGCACGTGTGCTGGCATGGCCATGGCACGTGTGCTGGCATGGCATGGCACGTGTGCTTGCATGGCCATGGCACGTGTGCTGGCATGACCATGGCACGTGTGCTGGCATGACCATGGCACGTGTGCTGGCATGACCATGGCACGTGTGCTGGCATGACCATGGCACGTGTGCTGGCATGACCACGGGCCTTTCTACTGCCTGCACGTATGTGGGCTCCCATGCCGTGCCCATGGCTGCTCCCCCTTGCCAACACCATCCATCCCCTCTCCCTCGCATGCCGCCTTCCCGCCCGTGCGGTGTGTGTGTGTGTGCGCGTGCCGTGCAGGCACGTGAACATGAACCGCCTGGAAGGGCTGCCCACCGTGCTCACCACCTTAACTGCCCTCAAGCACCTGTGCGTGCCCTGCCCTCACCTGCTCCCTCTACCCTCCAACATTCTCCAAGGAAGTTTACCTGTTGGCACTTTGACCTCTCGGAACCCTCACCGTTATGCACTGATTTTCCCCATCGCAATCGTCCTTGCTTGTTTCCAACCTCGGTCTTTCTGATTCCACGGCTACCCTGCGTGCTCCCGTCCTGTCCTCCCCTGCGCGGCTATGCCATGTGTGGGCATCAGATCAATGGGGGCGAATTTCTGGACACAGGACGTTCCTGCGCTCCTGGGCGATCTCAGCAACCTTGAAATGCTGTGAGTTGCAATGAGGGCGAGGCGAGTGGAGCGAGGATAATTGTCATTCCATGCACATACATCACGCCCAGCACTTGTTGCGTTGTCCCGGCTACCACTGCTTCCATGACCCCCTTCACACTTTCCTCATGTTCTGTTCGCCCTCCCTACACTCCTACACCCCTTGCCTAGCCCCCTGCCACTGAAGCCCACCTGGTCTATTGCCCACTTTCGTGTCTTACTTTGAGTCTCCTCATGCTCTGTGTTGCCAGCCCACGCGTCCGACCCCCTGTAAGGAATATCGCCATGATCCTAGCACTGGCGGAGCTCTAAGGCAAGCGGGGGTGCACGGGGTGGGCGTGCAGGAACTTGGACTACAGCCGCATCGCTGGGTCGCTACCGTCCGAGCTGTCACGCCTCAAGAAGCTCACCGAGTGGTGAGCGCGCGCACACTCCACACTCCCCGCCCGGAAATTCGTATGCCCGTGCTGCGTTTGTGTGATTGTTTCACTCTTATCCGTTTGCTGAATGCATTGTCTGAGAGGAAACAACTTTGGGGCGCTGGGTGGCGCTAATTGCATGCAAGTGGCGATCAGTCTGGTTGGCTGCACTGCTTCCCATGACAACCAGCACCACTCCCTGTGCTCCCCCACCCCTCCCTCCATGCCCCTACCCTTGCGCAACGCGCTGCCAGGCACATGACGTATTCATGGTGGGCCGGGCAGCTGCCAGAGTGGATAGGCAGCATGACAAGCTTGACAGTCCTGTGCGTGCTGCCCTGTAACGTGTGCCATGCCATGCCATGCCATGCCATGGCGTAGTGCGATGTTGTCCTGCACCGTGCGCCATGCACCACCTGCCATGTGCCATGCTCTGCCTTGCTCATGGAGCGTGCGTTGTATCACGGGCTTTTTGCTCTCATCTGCCAGCCGCACATCATTCTCACCACTGCCATATCTGCCATATGTGCACCATGCATGCGCCAGATCCCTTTACCACAGCTATTTCAACGGCACCATCCCAGCAACCATTGGCAATCTCAAAAACCTCACCCTCCTGTGAGTTTGCCTTGAGGCATGTGGGGCATGCATGCTCTCTTGCAGCATGGTGGGAGCATGGCAGGGGCAGGATGTGGGCATGGTGGGGCATGGTGGGGCAGGGAAACAAGTTTATGAGTGCGTGCATATCATGCACCTTCATCACCTGTGCCACACGAGCCTCTGCCTTGCCTTGCCATCTTTGGAGTGCCTTGAAAGACCATCCGTCCCGCTCTCCCTGTGTCCATGCATGCACCCTCTGCCCATATCTTCCGCATCCTCTGCTCCTTGCCATATCCATTTTTCTCTCGCACTTCTGCTGCAAGCTTGTGTTTCCTCCTGCTCTCCCTCACATCCTCCACACCACACCACCATGCGTCACAACACAATATTCTCTTCCCGCTGGCCAATGATGCATCGCCCTGTGCCACACCACATGTGCTATTGCAGGGACCTAAGTAAGAATAAGTTCTTCGGGACCATCCCCAAATCACTTGGGAGCCTCACGAACCTGGCAAGCTTGTAAGGGAGGGTGGCACACAAAAGGATCGCTTGCAGGTTCAGCTGTTCGGCTCCAATGCCAAGAACAGATCACTCGTCACTTACTTTTGTGCGCCGACCAACAGTCCAAGAGAATGTGCTTTTGTACCTCACAGTTGGTTAAACTAGAGCATGGGCGTGGCATGAAATGCAATAGTGTGAAGCCAACAAATTGTCATCCCACCCCTTGCATCCCATCTTAACCCATCCCGTGCCGTCCCATCCCGCTATCCCATGCTATCCCATTGCATCCGATCGCAGGGGCTTGGACGACAACGAATTGAGTTTCACCATCCCAACCTCCTTGTCGCGACTCACCCGTCTCTCTGCTCTGTACGTCCACTCATTTCCCATGTGGCTCGTGGAGAGTGAGTGCAGCATTGTGAGGCTACCAGCCTACCAGGTGGGCACGGTGCACGCCGTGGAAAGATTCGTGTATTTCACTGGTCACCAGGGGGGCTGTGTTGGCGCAAGGGCGCTGCTTGTCACTGGGAGTGGGAGTGGGGATGGGAATGGGTAGGCACGAGCAGATGGTTGAGAGGGCAGACATCTTGTTGTCTATGGCTCATGTGAGCAACCAGCCTAGCTTCCTGCCTGTTCCACAGTGGCCCCCCCGCCTGTCCCGCAGCTTAATGGCTCAGGTCAGCACGGTTAAATATACGGTTTTCGTAAAATACAGTCCGTTTATTGCGGTCGTTATTTACGGTGATTAGAGGAGAAAGAGAGAGAGAAAAAAAAACAGCCATTTTTTTGTTAGAGAACTCTGTTCGCCAAGAGAAAACAAGGTCAAGCACATTTTCAATCATGCCAACAAACGCACAAGAGCAAGAAGGGGTCCGTTCCCTTCATCTTGCTGAATTTCGGGTCCAATTTGGTCCCATAAAGTGGCCGTTTTGTTAAAGAAACAGAGAGCACCTCCTGGAACCGTTTCAAACCGTTTTGAACGACCGTTTAAATAGTAAATGTTATAGAATACGACCCCCCCTTTTTTTTTTACCCTGCAGGTCAGAGTTTATGCGTTTCCTGCTGCAACCATTTTCACCGGCAACCGGTTTCTATGTTCGGTGAACGTGGAACTCGGACCCAGGAACCCTTTGCTTGAGCCCTTGGTTTCAAGGACGTCTCCTCATGCCATGCCATGCCATGCCATGTTGGAATATGCGGTCAGACCCTAAAGCGTATACCGTTTATACGCTTGCGTTTGTACTCAAAACTCTATACGCTAGCTAACACGCTATATGCAGTCAGAATCTTTTAGGCGCTGCTCGAGAAAATAAACTGGACAACATGGCATGAGAAGGGACCCTGCGTGTCCCTCCATGTATTACATTGCTCCTTCCCCTCCACCCCTCTTCCCACCCACGTGTGCACCGGACAAAAAGATTCTACGCTCTCTCTACCTCACTATCACACCCATCCAATCACACAAGTGTACCACGCTGTGCCATGTATTATTGCAGGGACCTCAGTTACAATCGGCTTTCAGGGCCCATTCCCTCTGTACTCGCACACCTCACCAACCTGAGCAGACTGTAAGTGCAAAACGCACTGCTATGCACCATTGATACCTCGCAGTTGCACCACAATCACGTGATTAGTATATCCGTTTATGGTAGACCGGATTGTGCCTTCATGCTCACCAGTTTTCGCTCCTTGTTTGGGAATAGGAAACATAGATTCAAGAATTCAAATCAAAGGTGTGGGCAGATATCCTTGGATCATGGACGATTCTTTTCCATGCCATCCTGGGTTTGGCAGGAGTGTGAAGCGCAACAGGCTGGCAGGAACAATCCCTACCTCCTTGGCCAGGCTCACCCGCCTCGCTTCCCTGTGCGCTCACTCTCCCCTTACCTCACTCTGCCCGCGGGTTTGTTTGTTTGTTTGTTTGTTTTTATATTTTTTCATTTATTTATTTATTTATTTATTGCAATTGCAACAAGAGGGAGGCGGGATGAGAGTGCAGGAAGTGGAAGGTGCAGGGATTTAGGCAGGGTGCTCTTCCTTACAATGAGTGAGCGCATGGTTGTGAGGCTGTCTCATGTAAGCCATGTTTTCACAAGAACACCAGTGACCGCATGTTCTGCCGAAAGCACCCTTGGTGAGCTTGTATGAACAATCTGTTCTTTCGCCCACCTGCAGGGATCTGTCTGACAACCGCTTTGGAAGGACCATTCCTGACGCACTCACCGCACTCAGCAATCTATATTCCCTGTGAGTGCAAAGACTCTATCGTTACATTGCCATGCACAGCGCTCACCTTGCCTCACGTCGCATGCCACCACCACGTGCATATGCCCCTCGTTGTGTGCCACTGTGAATGCTTGGTCGTGCCGATTAGAACATGCTGTGCCCAAGCATGCTTGAGTTGTTACCTTTATTCTGTTCGCTTGCCCACCTGCAGGGATTTATCTCACAACCGCCTTAAGGGGACAATACCTGCTGCACTTAGCGCACTCACTGGTCTTGACTTCTTGTCAGTGCAACCTTGCCATCATTGCCACACCCACTGCCTTTCTCACTTACCCATTTCACTTGCTGCACCAGTCGTCCTGTTTTCCTTGTGAATCCCCCACTTGTCAGTCAGCTGTTATCGAATCACAGGCACCCCTGCGCCTCTCCCCATCCCCATTCCCTCAGCGATGTAAGTTATAACGAGCTGGCGGGGAGTGTGCCGTCGCTGCGCCTCATGAACTCTCTGTGGCACGTCGGTGCGGACCACAACTACCTCACAGGCATTGCAGGCACCTCTCTTGCCGACATCCACCTGCTGTGCGACAAGTTCCGCCTCTCTCTGGGATCCAACTGCCTGGGCAGCAACACAGTCCTGTGTGGCAGCACCCAGACACAGAAGACCAAATACGAGTGCGATTCCCTCTGTTGGAGCTATCTGGGCACCCCTTATTGCAGCGGCCATGGCGTTTGCTACATAGATCATGACAAGATTGGTCCGCAGTGTGCATGCTATGAAGGGTACACGGCAGGCACAGCTGCTGCCACATGCATCCCTCAAAGCCGGACATGAGCAGGGACTGGGCAGGGGCCGGGCTGAGGCTGGTTGGGCTCACACTTGTGACATGCAGGCCAGTGACGGGCTGGGTCCTGGCCGGCCCGCCAAGCCAGGTGTGGCTCTAGCCGTTGCTCAAACTTCTCTGGTCGGCTGCGCCGGGCGAAGTTTACATCCGGGCGAAGTTGACTCGTACTTATGTACATGTGTATTATCCCCGTGGATTATAAATCTAGGGGTCAAGAAAAATGGGGGTGGGGCTTGATGTAATGGTTTTTTGTGTGTGTGGGCGTGCATGTTCTTTTGTTTTTTTATTCTCTTCCTTGCCTTGTCCTTGTTATGCTGTTCCTGTGTTATGTATCTATTGTTAGATGACATGCGGTGCAGTGCCGCTAACTCTTGAACAGACGACCTAGCGCGCAGCTCCTGGACTCCACGGCATCCTTCTTCGTCCCCTTCCCTGAGGGGTATCACACTCTAAAAAGCGGGGTGAGCACCGAAAGTAGCTTTGACGCCAAGTGTATGAGTTGTACTAACAGAGTGTGCGGAATAATACGGTACTAGAAAGAGAATGTGATTTCGGAAGCCCCAGAATACAATGAAAAGAGCGAGCATAAATAGGCGAGTACCTCGGGACATGCGAGGGTTGGGAGAGTTTTGCTCAATTCCGCGGAATCGCGGTTCGTTTTATTTTCGCCACGCGGCATGCCTTCGATCGTGGGAACCGCGATCTGATTTATTGTTCCCACAATTTTTAAAAGAAAATATAGTTAGGCTTAGTGAGTCACACGTACTGCCCTGCCCGCGGACAAAAATAAAACCCCTAAAGGAAAAACATGCGTTAGGGATGCATCAACCCTAAACACATAGACGCAAGGTGTTTAGGGTTGATGCCTCTCTAACGCATGCCATGCCCGAATGGGTTTTATTTTTGCCCGCGGGCAGCGCGGTACATAACTTAACTAAGTTTCTCTTGAACTTTGTGGGAACAATAAAACAGATCGCGGTTCGCGCGATCGAAGGCTTGCCACGTGGCGAAAATAAAACGAACCGCGCTTCCGCGGAATTGAGCGAAATTCTCGAGGGTTGGGGGATGCGACTGTTGTGGGGCGACTCGGAATGTGGTTCGAACCGAAGTGAAGGTAGAACCCAACCCAACTGACACGATGCCTTTGGGGCGTCCTTGCTAGTGTCAGCCTCGAGTAATATTATTCCACATTCATTACACTCCCTCAACTGCACTCTAACAAAGATCGACGATAGGTACAAAGAGGCTTGTACGCATGAGTTAATGTCCCAGCTCTCCCGCGCTTGAATTAATCTGTCGCGATCGCACGAGCATGGACGCATTAGACGGCCATGTGTTGCTCCGCGTGGCCGACGCAACCGGCGATCTTCTTCCCACCATCGCCCGTCTCGCCTCGCTCTCCCGCGCCTTCGCGCGTGTCTCCCGCGATGAGCTCTGGCCGCTTTACTGCCTCTCGCGCGCCGCGCGTACCGACGAGGGCGAGGCGGCGGCGGTGGTTGCGCGCCTTGTGCGCGAGGCGGGCAGCACCGACGCCCCGCGCAACGCGGCGAGCAGTCTGGCGCGGTGCGTGAGCGCGTGCCCGGGCATGGCGCACGCGTGCTCCGCCGCGCTGGGAGTGGATGCGCCGAGGCCGCCGCCAGTGCCGCGGGTGGGGGGTTCAGCTACAGGGGCGGATGCAGCACGCGGGGAAGCGGATGGGGTAGAGGGAAGCGCGGCGGGGGGAAGATGCGAAAACGGGTTGAGGGGGGGCGGTGTAGGAGGCAACGAGGGGGTTGAGGAGGGTACGCGGGCAGAGCGTGAGAGAGGTGCGGGGGGAGGCGCGGGGGAGGTCATGCGCAGTGAGGCAGCAGGCGGAGGCAACCGCGGTACTAGCGCGAGTGGCAGTGAGCGCGGTGGAGAACGGGATGCTCCCACTGATACCCCTCACACCAATCCCTCTCTGCCCACCGCATCCGCTGCTTCTCCTCCTCCAGTCGCCCCTCATCTCGACGACCTCTGCTCCCTCTGCTCCGACCTCGCCCCTCAGCTCTTCCGCCCCGAGTGCTTCCTCCCCGCCCCTTCCTTCCTCCTATCACCTCCTCCTGGCTTCACTCCTCCGCGCACCTCTCTCCCACCCGCCACCACCTCCACTCCCTCCCTGCCGCCATGCTCCTCATTGGGAGAGGAACAGGCAGCGGAGGATGAAGGGGGAGTGAGGCGGGACGGAAGGGCGGAAGAAGTAACGCTGGGAGAAGTTGGGGGAGGAGAAGTTGGGGAGGGAGAAGTGGGGGAGGGAGAAGTGAGGGAGGGAGAAATGGGGGAGGGAGAAGTGGGGGAGGGAGAATTGGGGAAGCGAGAAGTGGGGGAGGGAGAAATAAGGGAAAGCAAAGCGGGGGAGGGAGAAGTGGGGGAGAGAGAAGTGGGAAAGGGAGAAGTGGGGGAGGGTGCAGCTGTGGTGATGCGGACAAGGGGGTGTGGGGCGCATTGGAGGGGGATGGATCACTGCTGTGTGGTGCGGGGAGCAATTGCAGGGTTCAGGCAGTCACGGTGAGCAATGGTGATTGTGGGTGGGTGTGTGGCCTGGCTGTGAGGGCTTGTGTGGTGAGTGTTGCCATGTCAGCTGCGCCTGTCATTGTCACTCACTGCCTCTAACCGCCTAATTATGTATAGTGAATAGTGCCGCACAACTCCCTCCTCAGTGCGTCCACCCATGGCTCTTCTCCAGATTCCGCTGGCTGCTGCAAGGCCAGCCGTTTGCCCAGGGCATGTGCCCCTTCTGCCATGGCCAGGTGTGTCACCAGCACCCATGCCATGCCATGCCATGCCATGCCATGCCATGCCATGCCGTGCCGCCCTGCCCTGTCCTGGTACCCTGCCATGCCATGCCGGACACCTCTGTTGCCACTGGAGGGCCGGTATTGGGAGTATAGGCATGGACCCCATGATGGGCTTTCCAGCCTGCAGTGCCCCCGTGTCCACCCTCCTTAACGTGCCATGTGCGTTGATGGCAGGCGTGGAACGCCACTGCTCTGCTGCAACCTGCCGCTCACACTGTGCTGGGCTGTGCTGAGGGCGATGTGTGCTGCTTTATCTGCACCCAGGTGTGTGGCGTGCCCTCACTCGTGCCTCACACCATCCGATAACGACCTTCAATACACCTTCCTTTCTGTGCCTTACTTTAAATAGTGTGTTCATTCTCTGACGCATGGTCTTCTTCTCTCCTACATTTCATTATTTATGGACAGGGTCACTTGTTTGGTTTGTACAAGTCACGGCGCTCCGCCTTTGATGGCATGGAGGACTGGGATGACTTGCTGGATGACATGGACGACGATGACGTGGATTTTGATGACATGTTTGACGATTACATGGACGGCAATGACATGGACGACGGTGTCGTGGAGGATGAATATGGCGATTATGACGCATTTGAAGATGCCTTCGACGATTACAGAGAGATGATAGTAGAGGAATTTGAAAACGAGCCGGATTGGTTCTAGATGTGTGAAACATATGAATAGCACATGCATACACCACATTCAGGGCCTCAGATTTCAGGAATTTTACCCTGATTTCCTGAAGTTTGACCCCAGTTTTTTTTTGTGACCCTGATCTATCAGCCTTTTTCTTTTTACAACCCTGATGAATCAGTGTTTTATGTTTCCAAGGACTGATTTTCCAGTGTTTCCTGTTTGACGACACTGACGAATCAGTGTTGTATCGGAGACGACCCTGAAACCAAAAACTCCGTGATGCTCGCTGTTTTGTGCGCCGTCATCATTCATGTACCCACCCTGCACCGACACCACCATGCGGCTCGCCCAGATACAGCTGAACGGGGTATTTCGTGCTGGGTAGGCAAAACGGCGCAAAGAGATTGGCTGTCCAAGCTGATCCAAACGGCGCAAAGAGATTCGCTTTTTTTAAGTTATTTTAATTGTGGCTGTAGATTCACTGATCAGTGTTTTCTTACAAGGCACCCTGTTTGATCAGTGTTTCTTTTTCAACAACCCTGAGAAATCAGTGTTTCTCCACAGGCAACCCTGATGATCAGTGTTACAGCCCCAAGGGACCCTGAGCAGGCCCTCAGAAGTCAGCGAAAAAAAGGCTGATTAGGGGTAAAAAGGCTGTGATTTCAGTGGTGGGAGAATAGTGGGGCTGTTGTGGCAGCTTTTTTTTAAGTGTGTTTGCTGAAATTTCAGGGTTTTTAAATCTGTATGTGCTGAAATATCAGCTTTTTTCCTGTCGTGTACGCTGTCTCATCAGAGTTGTAACGAAGGGGTTGGCTGAAATCCCTGTAATGGAGATTAGCGTAGGTGCCCTGAATTCCGGATGTCTAGGTACACCGGTTCGACCGTCCCTCCGTCAATCACGCCGAAATGGCAAGATTCCTTGCCAACGCATTCGGGAATGGTCATTCACGAACTTTCACTCCACTGCTGTCTTCTCGCGAAGGTATCTT